CACACACACACACACACACACACACACACACACACACATACGCACGGATCCCCCCCGCGCGCACGCGTGACAAACACGGATTTTAAACGTGAAGTTTTATAACATCCACACTGGCGAGGTGGATGCGCCCTGCGCGTGTATCCAAAGCGTGACTTTTGCTGTTCTTGTCGAGGAGGGGTCTGCGTGTATCCAAAGCGTGACTTTTGCTGTTCTTGTCGAGGAGGGGTCTGCGTGTATCCAAAGCGTGACTTTTGCTGTTCTTGTCAAGGAGGGGTCTGTGGGTCAGGGAGGGGTCTGTGGGTCAGGGTCGTCTGAGGAGGAAGCAGATGAATGGAGTTGTGGACGGGAACTTTTATTTAAGATATAAGTTTTTTTTTATTTCAAAGGTCCTCATGGCTCAGCAGCAGAAACATAAATATTACTGTTAAGAAAGCTGATGATAAAGTTGAATAAAAATCTAAGTCTGATGAAGTTAAATTAAATATCTGACAGTGATCATGACACAGTGTGGCTCTAAATCACCACTTCACCATCTGTGTCGCAGTTTCCCGTCTCCAAAATGAGCGTACGCATGGGTCAAATCTGGCGTGAGGCACCGCACATTTTCACATCAAGTTTGGATTTTATAAATCACAACCTTGGCGCGAAAAGTGGCGTACGCAAGTTTCTGGGCTCAAATTGTGCGTACRCCAGTTTTATAAATCAGACCCCAGGCCAGTGAAACTATGAGTATCTTGGTGGGCAGAAACAGTTGGGGACTAGCTCAAAACTCAAAAGTTGTAAGAAAATATGCATAGTTTTCATTGTAATCTTAATAAACTCTGTGTGTTTGCGCCCAAGCAATGATCTGAAACATGATTTCCTTTTGGGGTCGATAAAATATTTTTGAATTCAATTGATTGAATCATGGCGGTTCTTTAAAAATATGGCTTACTGACGTATGCATGAATTGAAAAATTGTTATCTAGGCTGTGCTTTTTTTTTCACTTCCCGTCACCACCAGCCTCGGTTGACTTTATACCCACCTTGGCAGCTGACCCCAAAATTAAGATTTTTTCTGCTGAAGTCCACATTTGAAATGAAGATAGGCAAATTTGGATATGTTTTTTATTAAATAGTGAGAGTTAATACGATGTGTTTTCTGTCAGAGAAGAGCTCCCTTGCAGGTGTAAACATACAGCTCTACTGTTGAAGCAAGCTGGAGGCACCCAGGTCAACTCTGAGACTTTTTTGAGAGCAAAATTGTTGCACAAAGGTTTTTAAGATGTTCAAAACTCAAAACGCAACAGGACTGAATGCCTCTGCGACTCATGCAATGAACCTTTTGTGAAAGCCTTTCAACCAACTGGTCACCAACAGAGCAAGCAAAGCAGGATGGGTCAACCTGACCAGTTTCTGGATAAAGCACTTGAGTCATTTCAACTTTAGGACTTATAAATTTGGATTACTGACTGTGAGAACACTGAGTGATACTTGAGGTCTGTGGATAAATGAATGTAAGAACAGGMGGGTACCTTCTTGAACATTTCGTATGGTTCCAATAACTCATAGTGTCAATAAATGTGACCTGAGCTGACAAAATGAGCTCAGACTTGGGTGCAAAACAAGCTAAAATATAGATTTTTTTTTCTCCTGTAGTTGAGATCTGTGTAAAAATGAGTCCATAAAGACACCATCTAGTAATCCCTGTAACTAAAACAGCATAAAATTCCTAATGTAGAAACTGGCTGTGTTTCTCTGCCGGCTGCTGTAGCACTGGGAAATCCTTTTATCATCTATATTGAAGCTTGAGGTTTCCCCTTTTTAAATAGGGCTGGAATTTTTGATGACATTGCTCCAGACCAATAAGGACCAAGTTTTCAAAGCTGTACTCTTGTAAATAAAACCAGCTTACTGCCAGGCCAGGTGACAAATCACCAAATTTCAACAAACTACATATCATTTTGAAGCTTTTGAGATGGAGAATTTGTACATAATAATAACTAAAACATTGGAAAAGAATTATCATTGTTCCTAACTAATTTTTATTAATTTTGCCAGCTCAGGTCACAAATGACAAACTAAAGGTTTCCAAGCAGTAATCCAGAAGCTAAGATTTGGACATTTGTTCCATTCTACTCAAATTTTATTCCAATTATTTGTGGCCCTGGCATCACAAACATATTGGACTAAAAAATTAACAACCTCTTCACTCATAAGTCCATCACTATGACTACTTTCCCGTTCTTACTGACTGATCGAAGCATGAAGGGAAACCCACGGCTGTGTGGTTCCAGCCTCAGCGAGCACTCGGCCCATCAGATGGGATGTTACACAGTTCACAGGTGACAGGAGGTAGGATGAGAACGTGACGCAGCACGATGAACAGGATAATAAATCCTGAGTGAGGCAGCACAACTGCCTTCTCCTACCTTCTGATACTCCGAGTCCTCCGGTCTGAAGTCGCTGCTCACCACTTGAAACTCTAGGTTGAAGTGAGGCAACCGGTGGAGCAGGTTCACCCACCACGGAGGAGAATAGTTCACCACGGCCGCCATCCTGATGCAGCTGCTCACTGTCACGTCACTCTTTAACCAGGTTCCTCCCAGAGAAACTGTAAGAAATAACAATTATAACCAGCAATAATTACTGAAGCAGAGCCAGAATGCAATTTATAATGTTATTATACAGGTGAAAATAAAGATGATCCAAAAAAAATGTTTAAAAAGGCATTTACTTAGGATTGACACTGTTATTAAGCCAATAAGTAGTTAACTTCATTCTTCTATTCATTTTTTTTTACCCATATCAATTAATTTACAGTAATGGGAAGAACAGTGGTGATCAAACACCTTCAGGCTGTGTGAGGCTGAAATGGTAAAAAAAAAAAAAAAATCCCTGCAGTATGACATATTACAGTGAAAGCATCCATCTGATAATAAAATGATTACCTTCCACCACAGTGATATAATGCGGGCTACTGCCTGACATACAGCATCATTTATTACCTATAAAGGTAATAAAATGCTGTATATCTATTTTAAAGTAAACTGTGGGTAAACAGCAAAGCTCTGCATGGCTGGCAGCTATCAGGCATGAACCCACTTCACGCCCATGATGCAGAACACGGGCTTCGTGGGTAAAAACGTTAAATGTGTGGACGTGGAAAGTGCCGTTAAATGCAGCTCCACGACCACGTCCTTTATAYTGGATTTACTGTACCGACACATGTAGGTCAGCTCGGTCAAGGGAGCCCTCATAAAAATGACGGSTGGTTAATTGTTGCAATAAATAAATAATAATAATAATAAAACCATCTGGCTTCGTTCTTTAAACTACTGCAGCCATAAGGAGAAAAAGTGGGGAGAGGAAGCTTCTGCAAAGTGTTGGAGAACCGTGATGTGACCCACCTCCTGAAGCCCGGAGCGGATGCAGACTCGGGGAGTCCGGTGCTTCTATTGTCTTCCCCGATCCGGTGGCGGTGGATTTGGAGCACGACAGCCGGCCGCTGCGGCATCAACGCGGCTGTACCGAGCGCGTCGGCTGCAGTCCCCACCGCATTGAGGCAAACAGAAAGGGACTACAACAAAATAAAAAATAAAAATAAAAAAAGAGACGATTGCCGAAGCGCCGGTCTGCTCACATTTCACCAAGCGACCCTTCGACGGTCCTCTCCCCCCCCCTCCTCTCTGGAAGATGAGGGGTTAAACTCTCTGGCCCGCAGCCCTGTGTCTGTTAATTTATTATTTACAGTTTTGCCGCCGTCCTCCTAAAGACGTTCGCTCCTACGACAGCCGTGGGGTCGGTGTGGGCTATTTGGCACCAGGCAGCTCCTTGGGTGATACCGTCGGAGCGCGAAGCGAACACGGTCTTTAAAAAGCTCTGGAGGAGGATGGGGGCTTTGCGGCAGCTCTGGCTCCGTGTGCGCGTGCGTGTATGTGCGATAGGAAGGGCAAATGCGCAAAAATGTCGCCCCTTGGCGTTCAAATGATGGTAGTGCAAGTCTGGTACAAGCTATTTATACYGTCCCCAAGAAGTATGGAAAACCAGAGACCCCTACTGGGCGCTGCGCGTTTTCAGATCTCGAGCGTTTGACGCACGTACAGCCCGACCAAAGCGGCAGGCGCTGGAGTAGGAAAATCTTAAATAAATAAATAAATCTAAACTTGCAGCTGAACGGAGCGTCAACCAATCAGAGAGACTCCTCTATGTGACGTAATGACGCATTTTCCGACCAAGAAGAACCGACCTGTGAAGTCTCCTGAGTCCTGAATCACAGATTTATAAAGGCTGACTGATGCACACACTGATGCAAACTATGATTCTTATGACTTAGATACAGAACTTTTTAAGTAGTAAAACTGGGCTTCAAAAAAAGTACAAGCTAAAATAAATCATAAATATTATTGAAGATAGTTCTTTGTGTTACTCAAGGTGCATTCAAAATGATTTCCCACTGTGTGTATTTGTTGTCATATTGTTTACATCAACACACCAGTGGATAATACACACTGCTCTACCATTAACTGTTCACAGGAAATCATTGTTACACATTCTCAGAAGTTTAGCCAAGTAACTCCGGTACAGATCATATTTAAAATAGGCATGTGTGGTGATCCACAGAGTACAAAAACAACCCCACAATGTTTTAACTTATATACCAAAACCTCATATAACAATATTCGTTTTAAATCCAACAATAAAATAAAGGAATATATCATAAAATATATTTTTAGATACGTATGGATGGAAAAATACAGAGCACAATAAAAATACAATCACTCCTTCAAAATAAGATTTTAGGCAAGAATCACAAGAAAAATGAGATTTTCTTTWAAAAAATGCATTTAATTGAATGCCTCAAACAGGTTACACATGTTGAGATTACGTTAATCATTGCTTATGCTGAACACTTTAAAAGTTATTGTTTTTGTCTACTCCAGTACAGGTATTAGGAGTACACAGTGTTTCCTCTATTTATGGGTTAGTATTGCAGCAGAGTGAGCTATAATTTATTCACAGTTTGACTCAATAGTGCATCAGACAAGGATCGCCTCCATGTCATACCTAAAAAAAATCATTCATAATTTTATAAGCTTATGACAGTGATGAATGGGACGATGATTAAGGGTCTCATATCAGGTGTACTATAATATGATCAGAGGAATTTACAGTAATCTGCCTCACTTGGGCCTGTCAGATTAGCAGAAATGACTGCATTTATTGCTGTCAGTTTAAGATARATCATGTAGTTCAGCATAGAAACCAGCAAAGTGAACAGTTGACACTTATTCCAGGTAAGATTCAACTTCCCCAAAAGATTCTGATTATTTTTATGGGWGAGGCGCTTCCACAGCAGACCCTGTGTGCTCATATTTACTCTGAATGAAAACATAAAGATGCGTTAGGCAAGGATGTGACGTGTGATTGTAGCAGACATTAATGAACACACTTTCACACACAACCCAAAGCCAGCCAGGCGAGTCTACAGCATTAGAACTTCTCGGCTTCTCAGTGGACGTGACGGAGACACAATAATGTCATCAGAATCGTCTGATTCCACGCCGGCGTCTGCATCAAACTCCGCAGCGGAAAGGACTTCTCTTTGGGCTGCGACAGACAGAAAACACAGAACCACGTGGACTCAATTCACTCTAATTACAAGCAACAATAAGTTGTGCACACTCAGATACATGTCCTCATTCTCTAACCTCGTGTGTGTGACGTCCTAGAGACAGAAGTTCTAGAGACGGGCCAGAGGTCGTCTTGCTTGAGGTCCTTTTCAGGATTCCTACTGAGGTTTTCGGTACCTTGTGAAAAAAACACCACAAACTTACAAGTCAGTTCAGAAATACGAAAATAAAACCCAAAACAAAAACATAGATGTTACAAATCAAAGCTTTTATCGTTCCACAAACATCCACCTCACACCCTGCAAAATGTACTCATAAATATACCAAAACAACAGTAATAAACCTGTATCTCCTCCCCTCAAACTGTTTTTTAGCTTAGCTGCAACACAAGATAAGATGGAGTGGACTGGACTCTCTGGACAGAATCCAGCCACGCATCGAACGCAGAGGCAGTTGTGAAAAACACCGACATCACCGCTACGCTCTGTGCGCCCATACGCTGATCAAGAGGGTTATAAAGAGAAGCTACGAGTGTGGGATCTCACAGGGTCATCTCAGTCGGGTCTCTGAACAGCAGCAGCTGTAGTTCTTATGGGTCATTACAACGCTGCAGGTCTGCTGAGCGACCTCATCGGTCTTTGGCATGAGGCTGTAAAATGTTCTGGCTGGTGCAGAAGCGACAGCCACCTTTGAGTTAGATCRGTGCAATCCGTCACTTCTCATAAAGGTGTCAGGGGTGATGAAGAGCAGCTCTGTGCTTTACAGCAGGGCAACACCACTTTTGTTGCACACAAGTATTTATCAAAGCAGAACACCTACTCAAAGGCAGATTACTTGTAATTGTTTTGATGGTTTACTCCTTTATTTTTAATTACTGTTTGGGTTTCTATCAATACAGTAATGCTCACAAAATGGGTCTGGGGACCTCTTACAGGGGAGAGAAATTTCCAGGGACTCCATCAAAAACCTCATGTTGATTAAAAATAATTTACACAATTTTAACCCATAACTGCCATGGTAATAATGTTTTGGGTTTTTTTTTTTTTTTTTTGGTTGAGTATGTTTGTTTTTTCTGGCCTATTGGTCCCTATGTGTATATATGCACTTCTTAAAATAAAAGAACAAAAGTAAGAATTTATTGTAATTTATTTTGGGAATCCCAAAGGTACGGCTCACAAACCCTTGGGTTTGAGAACCTCTGGTTTATACGATACAGAAATATGTGAGGCCTTACCTGTGTGAGTGTGAGTCAGGCCAGCCCTTCTTGGAACCAGAGTAGGTTGATTGCTTTCAGCCGGAGAAGGCACAGCAAACCCTGAGCTAAAACACAAAGACCTCTGAATTAATGTTTTCATTTAACACAAATCATACTTAGCACAAAATTAAAAAAAATGTCTTTGGTAAATTATGTCTTTGTTGTAACAATGCTTCTTGGCAATAAATCTTGTGATTGTCACCTGACTGGCAGCACCTGGGRGTACCAGAAGCTGAAAACAAGAGTCAGTAGCAACAGAAAAATAAGCTGTTTGGCAGAGAAGATTTGGCTAATTTCTCATGTGCACAACCCACATACTCAGCTCTACTGCTCATCCCACAAATGCATGTTCCTTACAAATGTGGCACCATTTAAAAGGGAAATTAACAGGCTTTCCAATGGTATAATATTTACTGTCAAGGAGCATTATTATAACAAAGAAATAATCTACCAAACACAAATGTACTTAGTTTTTGTGCTATGCTTACAGCGTTTCTGCAGAGTCCTAAGAAGTTATAAATAAAATGTCTTAAATTTAATCATTTCAATTTTGTGTCTGAAATATGTCCAGATTTTCAATTTTATTTCTTAAATATGTTTTGTTGAATCTTAAAATTGACCTTTTTTAATTCAATGCAAATTATTTGAACAATAAAATTTATTTTCACTTTTTTCCTAATTCGTGTAGGTCTTAAAYTGGAATCAGAATGGTCTTTAAAGTACTTACAAGGTCTTAAATTTAACTGACTGAAGCTCGCAGAAACCCTGTGTATAAGATATTCTACGTATAAATGTGTAACCTCTTTATTGCAAAACTACAGCGAGCCAGATGTCCCCTGAATGCAGACTGGATCACCGTCACAGYGACCTCGTCCAGTTTTCCACCGACAGAGCCGGCCACGTCACCGCAGTTTAACGAGTCAGTCGACTGTAAACAGAAAGATGTTGATACAGACATAAGAAAATTAGAAAATATTCTCTAGTACCATCAAGTGGCCATTTCAGTACACTGAAACTGGTTTACTCCAGAACAAAACGCTCATTTTTATATGAAATCTCCATTTTTTTTCTTATTTGATCTAATCTTGTTCATCCACTAAGCTGCAGTCCTTCAGTCTTAAATCCTGCTTTCAACGTTTTTGACAATTGTCTAACTACAGAAAATACTAAAGTTTTCAGAATCATTCATCGTAGTTACACTTATTGATGCAGTTTAAAAAGCATTTGTAAGATTAATGTAGAAAGGGCAATTTATTGATTGACAAGTAAATAGGTAAAACCTTATTCTGTGCATCTTTCACCAGGACTTTGAGCTGTGACTCTCTGAAGAAATGGCCCCTTAAAACAGATTGCAACATCACAATGTCCTGCCGAGAGAACATATTTAGACAAACGAGAGAGGAATCAGGTAAAAACTGGGACAGTCTGTCTGTAGGATTCTTATATAATCATTTCTCTCACCCATCAATGACTTCCTTTACATAAGTGTACAAGATTTCATACCCTCTGTCTGTGCTGCCTCCAGTTTGTCTGAATGATCAAAGCTGCCGTTTCTCTTTTTTTCGTCCCAGCATCAGTCCTAGATTCATCATTTCCTTCCGCCCCCTCCTCTCTGAGGCATCCAGTGTCCCGCTCCTCTTCCTCCTCCTGATTCGCTGGGCTCCGGGCGTCCTCGTGACTCTCTGCCACCGTGGGAGTAGGAGAGAGGAGCTCGGCCTCCTCCAGAGTTCGGATCCTCTCCAGCAGCTGCTCCAGCTTCTGTCTTGGAAACCACAAAGAAAAAAATACACGAAACGTTCAAACAGATTTGTTTTGATTTGAATTTATTTTATTTTCTGAGAAGTGTTAACGACCAGGATGCAGCAGGTTGATGACATCAGATATGATGCTAAGCAAAAGCAGCATTTTAGCATCTTGTAAAAATTATACAGTATATCAAACTAATGCCAAAGTTAATTTGTACAATCCAACTAATTAACTGGTAGCAGTCACCTGATCTACCTCTACCTTTTAGAGAACAGGTTTATGTAGGTAAAACAGACAAAACAACTCTTTCTACATGAACTGTTACAGGATAATACTGACATAATAACAACATACTACACTGGTAACAAAGGTACGGTCATCGATACATAAAACGCTCATCAGTAAATTGTTAAAGTAATCAAAACCCAAATACACACCTGGACAAATTTGTTGGTTCCCCTCGTTTAATGAAAGGAAAAACCCCACAATGCTCACAGAAATAACTTGCATCTGACAAAAGTAACAAAAAATAAAAATTCTATAAAAATGAACAAATGAAAGTCAGACCGTGTTTTTCAACCATGCCTCAACAGAATTTAAAAACAAACTTATGGGTACCAACCATTTTGTCCACGTCTGTATGTGTCTGTTAACCATATGCATTGATTTTAGTGGCGTGAAAAGTCAGTTTGTGTAACAGTGATGTTGTCCATGATGTAAATCAACAAACAGGTTCATTAAAGAACATAGAAGAACATAAAAAAAACGCAGCTATCAGTTACAATGTGAAGAGCGTACCTGTCAATGACTACCGGCCCATATGAACCATTTTCTGATCAGAGTTGTAGACTTCATTGGTACCACTTGGAATTCTCTAGTAAAAAGGGTCTTAATAAAAAATAATCTAATGTGAAGGATTACACCATGGACATTACTGTTTGTTACTGGGATGTCAAGATGGAGTCTAAACAAGGTTTTCAGTAAGGAGTCAGTTGTGATTTTCACCTTTAATCCTGTGACCTTAACAATAAGGTTTATCTTTGCACACAGGTGGTCACATATTTAACCAATACCTACATTCACATTACAGTAAAAAAAAAGTTAATTTATAATCAGTTTGAATCTATATCTAATGCTTGTCAAATGATTTGTATAAATCGAGCTGCCAAGTGATAAACAGAAAGGTTTGATGAGTGTTTTGAATGTGTGCTCAGGATTATTTTCACAGCTTCWTGTTGTACCTGTGCTCCTGTTTCTCAAGGTCAAGCAGTTTCTTCTGTTCAGCTTTCAGTTGTTCYGTCTCTCTCTCCTGCTCGTCTCTTTCCATCCTCAGCCGTGTCAGTTCATCACTGGAAACCAAGGGCATAACTTTGGGAAGGACTGGTGTGTACATGTCCCCACCAACTTTGGCCGGACAGGGACAGTCCCCACCAATATTTGCACATCTTTTTTCCTTTGTGTGCATCTACATTTCCCAACAGTAGGCAGCAACAACTGCTGTGTCTACCTTTTTCCGAAAAAAATAAAAATAATAAAAAGTACGCTGCGCCCGATCCCTTCCGCCCCCTCCCTGCTCCTGCTTCTCATCTCTCTCATATCACACTGCAGAAGCTGCTGGGAGCCTGCTACACCTTCCCCTTCACCCCCTCCCTTCCTTTTCTCTGAAGTAAGAGGACATACACTCGCGCGCGCAGACACACGCATGCACACACACAGATGCACACATGCGCGCGCGCGTGCGGTGGGGGGCGTGCTAGCTGCCTGCTGTAAAACAACGTGGTGGTCAGAGCTTCAGAGCTACTGGAGCAGGTAATGGTCTGATAACATCCAGCTCTTGGAAAAACTTTATTCTTTACAAAGGACCAAAAAATAAGTCAAAATGTAGGACAGCACTGTTATTTTTCTTATGAAAAGTTAGCTTGCTGCTAGTTATCTATCAGCTAGTGTTAGCAATCGCTTAGTGATGACATTCTCTATTATTGAGGTTTTTTTAATCAGTTAAACTGTATTTTAATGCAAAGATTGAGTCCAGGTCCACTCTGATATTTATTGATTCCCTGTTATAATTTACATTCATAAAGTCACAGATTATTTCTCTAATTAAATATACTAGCTTCATAATTTACATGTTATTTACTTGACTTTTTAAAGCTGACTGAATTCAAGTGGCAGTAAAACCGTAATACTTAATCTATCTGTTGATGTAGGAGCTGAATACAGAGTCAGAGGCAGCAGGTAGGACAGGGTGTCTCAGTTAGGACAGGGTGTCTCAGTTAGGTCAGGGTGTCTCAGTTAGGACAGGGTGTCTCAGTTAGGACAGGGTGTCTCAGTTAGGACAGGGTGTCTCAGTTAGGACAGGGTGTCTCAGGTAGAACAGAGTGACTCAGGA